GGGCGGTGGTGGCGCACACCTTTAATCCCAGCACTCGGGAGGCAGAGGCAGGCGGATCTCTGTGAGTTCGAGGCCAGCCTGGTCTACAAAGTGAGTTCAAGGAAAGGCGCAAAGCTACACAGAGAAACCCTGTCTCGAAAAACCAAAACAAAACAAAACAAAACAAAAACAAAAAAAAAAAACAGGATCTTGCTATGTTGCCCAGGCTAGCCTCAAAATTACTACATAGCAGAGGATGATCTTCAACTCCTGATCCTCTCTCCTCCACCTTCCGAGTGCTGGGATAACAGGTGTGAACCACCACAGCTAGCTCCTGTAGAGTTTTTGTTTGCTTGCTTATTTGTTTACTTGAGACAGGATCTCACCATGTGGCACAGGCTGGCCTGAAACTCTGGATCCTCCTACCCCCGCCTCCTGAGTGCTGGGAGGATATAGGAGTGTTGTGGTGGTGTGAAAGAAAATGGCCCCCACAGGGAGTGGCACTATTAGGAGGTGTGGCTTTGCTGGAGCGGATGTGGCCTTGTTAGAGGGAGGAAGTGTGTCACTATGGAGGACGGCTCTGAGATCTCCTACGCTCAAGCGATGCCCTGTGTGGCACACAGTTCACTTCCTGTCGCCCGAGGATCAAGATGTAGAACTCTCGGCTCCTTCTCCAGCACCGTGTCTGCCTGTGTGCCGCCATGCTTCCTGTTATGATGACAACGGACCTCAACCTCCGAACTGTAAGCCAGCTCTCACTGAAATGGTTTCCTTTTCTACGAGTTGCTGTGGTCATAGTGTCTCTTCACATCGACCGAAACCCTGACTAAGACAAGCGCATCACCATGCCTGGCTTCACTGGTACGCTTTGTTGTTGTTGTTGTTGTTGTTGTTGTTTCAAGACAGGGTTTCTCTGTGTAGTTTTGGTGCCTTTCCTGGAACTCACTCTGTAGCCCAGGCTGGCCTTGAACTCACAGAGATCCGCCTGCCTCTGCCTCCTGAGTGCTGGGATTAAAGGCGTACACCACCACCGCCCGGCCTTCGCTGGTATACTTTGAATACTGTCTAGGTGACTTAGTGAATACCTGAAACAGGGAGAGAGCCCTGTGGATGCCACACCCTATGATTTAGGGGATAACGACAACAAAACAGCTGTGGCGTTCTATACAGATGCAATGGGGTTTTTCCCCCAAAATATTCTTATATTCTTTTTTTGTTTGTTTGTTTGTTTTTTGTTTTTTGTTTTTTGAGACAGGGTTTCTCTGTGTAGCTTTGGAGCCTGTCCTGGAACTCACTCTGTAGCCCAGGCTGGCCTTGAACTCACAGAGATCCGCCTGCTTCTGCCTCCCAAGTGCTGGGATTAAAGGCGTGCGCCACCACACCCACCACCACCACCACCACCACCAGCAGCTCCCCAAATATTCTTTATTTGAAGTTTGTTAAATTGGTGTGTCAAGACTGACTGTCTATACATGGAGTACACACTCACACACACACACACACACACACACACACACACACACACACACACACAGGTATATATTACGTATGCCAAGAGTGGCATGCTCTATCTTTCCAGTACTCTTCTGTCAGATCCACTTACTTCTGTCTCTCTCTATCAAGAGATGTCATCCCTGCCGGGAGATGGTGGTGCACACCTTTAATCCCAGCACTTAGGAGGCAGAGTCAAGAGAATCTCTGTGAGTTCGAGGCCAGCCTAGTCTATAGAGCAAGATCCAGGACAGACACCAAAACTACACAGAAAAACCCTGTATCAAAAAACAAAACAACACAACAACAACAACAACAACAACAACAACAACAACAAAAAACCACACACAGGGTTGTCTCTTCAAAGGAAGAGCTGTATAACCTGTTTTCATCCCAGAAGACTGGGGATGGATGTGGCTAATAGGCTGGTCATCTCTGTGCTCTTTGGAGGGCCAGGGCCACATCTGGGGCACCAGACTCGTATGTTTATCTCAATCATCCTCCCTAGACCCTTATCTTGAGCACTGTTTGTGGTGATATATTATGTACCTTAATAAACTTTGCCTGAAGATCAGAGAACAGAACAAGTCACTTGATTAAACATAGAACCCAGGCAGTGGGTGACACACACCTTTAATCCTAGCGTTCAGGAGGCAGAGATCCGTCTGGATCTCTGTGAGTTCAAAGCCACCGTGGACTACATGAGATTGACTCAATCTAGGAGAGAAACAGAGCCAGGCAGTGGTGGTACACACCTTTAATCCCAGCATTAAGAAGGAAGTGATATGGTGGGCAGAGAAAGGTCTATAAGGTGTGAGGAGACAGGAACTAAAAAGGCTTTTGCCTGAGGAACCCCTTTTGGCTAGAAAGGCTTTTTCAGGCTGAGGAGTTGGTAAGGTAAGAGGTGGTAGTTGTGGCTTGCTCTGCTTCTCTGATCTTTCAGCTTTCACCCCAATATCAGGCTCTGGGATTTTATTAAGACAGTTTAGGAATTCGTGTTACAGTTGTTTCTCAGCCAATAGAACCCATCTTTACGGAAAAGGTCACATGTACTTTGAAAAGAGTTTCAATGTAATCATGTCTTAAGCGTTATTATACACACAAGTTGAGTTCATTGTCACCAGGAAACTTTTTTCCAAAATTGTGCTCTGTTGAAATATGCCTAAAATAAACTGCCTGGTGGCAGACTCTCAAAATTTGAACCAGCACAAACCACTGAGTTGTGTTAAACTGAATTTCCTTCTTGCCTCACAAGGATTGATGCCCTACTGGCCTGGTGTTTGCAAAGACCACACACACATAAAGAAACACACACACACAGACACACACAGACACACAAACACAAACACAGACACACACACACACGTTAGGGTGTGCCTTCTCTTTGTCCTCCGGAAGTAAGTTAAGATGAAGGAGTGTGACCACTCTGCTACCCTGAAACCAGGATGCTGGGAGATGACCACTTCTCCTGGAGAGGCCCTGGCTCTGAGCCTCCATGTGGGAGGAAGCCAAGGACACCCAGGCAAAAAAGGAGCAGGCAAGAAAGGCAGCCATTCTGGAAGGGGATGCTCTACCCAGCCATCCAGTGGATGCCCTGGGAGGCAAGATGAATGTCTGTATGGAGCCCTTCCCAAATCCTGACCCACTAAATGGGAGACAGGTTTTTATGAAGAAAACAGTCACACACCAACACGCCAGTACAGTGACTTTCCTCATTAATGCCAGCTATCAACTTGACACCGCCTGGGATCATCTGAGAAAGCCTCCATTCAAGGACTGCTTCAGTCAGATTGGCCTGTGGCCATGTCTGTGAGGAACCGTCTTAGCCGATCCTTGATGTGGGAGAGATCAGCCAACGGTAGGCGGCACCATCCCTAAGCAGGTGGGCCTGCACTATGTAAGAGAGAGAGTTGACGGACTAGAGAGATGGCATGAGGTTGAGATCACTGGCTGCTCTTCAGAGAACCTGGGTTTGATTCCCAGCCCCCACATGGCAGCTCGCAGACATCTGTAACCCCTGTCCCAAGGGATCTGATGCCCTCTTTTGGCCTCCGCAGGCTGGACCAGACATGCCCATAGTGCACAGACATACATGCAGGCAAAACATCCATACACATAAAAAAATTTTTTAATAAAGACTTAAAATGAAGAAAGCTAGCTGACTGTGAGCAAAGAGTGGGGGCACAAAGCCAAGCTCCTCCTCCGTGGTCTCTGCTTCGGTTCCTACCCTGCCTTCTCTCTTTGATGGACGGTGATCAGCAAGTGTGAGCCAAATTAAGCCTCCCCTCCCCACATTGCTTTTGGTCAGAGTTGTTGTGGGATCGTCTTTTTGTACACTGTGAAGAGGTGTCTCTGCCAAGGCACCTTCTGATTGGTTTAATGAAGAGCTCAACAGCCAATAGCTAGGCAGGAGAGGATAGGCGGGACTTCCAGGAAGAGATAAGAATTCTGGGAAGAAGAGAGGTGGGATTCACCAGCTAGACACAGAGGAAACGGGATGCATGGCATTGAGGAGAGGTAACGAGCCACATGGCAGAACACAGACTCATATAAACAAACAGGTTAATTTAAGTTACAAGAGCTAGTTGGGAACAAGACCAAGATTTCATAATTAATAATGAGTCTCTGTGTCATTATTTGGGAGCTGGAGGTCCAAAGAAAGACCTGTTGCACAGAGTGGTTTATCACAGCAACAGGAAGCAAACTAGGGGATGACACATGTGTATCTGATGAGGAACCTGTGATTTCAGTCTTTTAAATTAGTATTGCAACTCCATCATAAAAACAAGAGTGAGGTGGTGAGCATCCTGGAAACACAGGGTGGGAAGAACTGTGCACTTCCTGCCAGACAGAAAGAAGAGGAACAGACAGCAAGGAGCCCCACAAGGCCAACACCCTTCCCACCCCCATGGCCTACTTCCTCCAGTGAGACCTCTGCCTTCTGAAGGTTCCAGAACCTCACAGAACAGCAGTACCATAAGCCCATGGGAGACACTTCCATTCAAAGTGTAACATGGCATATTACGTTCATAAAGACAAAAATGCAGGAACATAATTAAAAATAATAAAAGATAAATATTTAAGGGCTGGAGAGATGGCTCAGTGGTTAAGAGCATGTACTTTGCCACCAGAGGACCTGAGTTCAATTCCCAGCACCATGTCAGGAGGCTCACAACCGCCTGTAGCTCTAGCTCCAGGCCAGAGCCTCTGTGGGCTCCTGCACTCCTGTGTGTACAGACTTACACATAATCAAAAGTAATAAAAGATTAAGAACATGGGAACCGCTAGGCAGTGGTGGCGCACGCCTTTAACCCCAGCGCTCGGGAGGCAGAGGCAGTGGATCTCTGAGTTCAAGGCCAGCCTGCTCTACAGAGTGAGTTCCAGGACAGTCAAGACTACACAGTCTCAAAAAACTACAAGACTACGCTATCCTACAAAATAAAACAAACAAACAAACAAACAAAAAACATCAAACAAAGACAATTTATTTGTTTGTTTATTGGTTTTTCAAGACACAGTTTCTCTGGCTGTCCTGGGACTCACTATGTAGACTAGACTGGCGTTATAGACATCCCACTACATGCAGTTTTTGATGACAACTTTTAAAATATCGAATTAAGCTATGGTAGAACATTTGCCTAGCATGTGCAAGGCTGGATTCAATTTCCAAAATCTTGAATTATTTACTTTGTTTTTGTTTTGTCTGTTAAAAGCAAGGACTCAGCCGAGCAGTGGTGGCAATTATCTTTAATCCTAGCACTTAGGAGGTAGAGGCAGGAGGATCTCTGAGTTTGAGGCCAGCCTGGTCTACAGAGTAAGTTCCAGGACAGGCAGAACTACACAGGGAAATCCTGTCTTGAACAAACAAAAAATAAATAAATAAAAGAAAAAGAAAAGAAAAGGACTCAAATAGCCCAGGCTATCCTTAAATTCACTATGTGGCCAAGGATGACTCTGAATTTCTGATGCTGCTCCCAAGTGCTAGAATTAGAGGCATGTACCACCATGCAGGCCTTATGTGGTCCTAGGGGTAGAAGCTGGGGTTCTGTGCATGCTAGGCAAGTACTCTCCCAACTGAGCTACAACCCCAACCCCTAAATGTATTTAAAAAGGGACATCCATGCAGTGTCCCTCAAAGACCTGGCTTTCCAGAATGCAGCCCACCCTTCGTACCTTGAAGTGACGTTCCACAGTGGACAGGAAGCGCACATTGTCGGAGGCCTCCATGTGGAGTTTGAACAGCTCGGTCAGGACAGGCTGCACATTGGCTGTGAGCATCGATTCACCTTCCTTGATCACATCCAAGACCTTCCTAACAAACGGAAGCTTCGTTTGTTCATGGAGGGCACTCAGCGTTGCATTTCTTTCTCGCCAGAACTCAATTTCAGCCAGAGGACCGTTGCCCTGGGAGAGATGTGAACACGCAGCCGTCACTCACCATTACTGTGGGTGGACACCTGTGGTCATTTCTACAGTGCCCATTCCTCCTCCCATCCTCCCTTTCCCAAATGCCCCAGGCGGGCTGGTCAGCACAGGGCTTCTGGGTGGACTTCTCATCCGGCGTGGTCCGATCAGAGTGGATCTCAGGACTCAATGGGGAATGCAAGACAAAGATCCTGCCCTTCCTGGAGATGCCCACAGGGCCAGAAACTACCCATCACCGCTGCAGAGAAGCAGTGTGAGGGGGGATAGCCTTAGCCAGCCCCACCGGCATCATTTAGGGAAGCCCCAAACAGAGAAAGAGGCTGGCTCCCACGGAGCCCTTTCTCGGGATGGTGGGTTACAAGCCCTCACAGATTACCTGGGGCGTCTTCTTCAGCTGGATCTCCAGAGCAGTGGAAATCTGGGTCAGCCAGTTGATCACACACTGCTCCAAGGACTCCAGCATTTCCGAGTTGGCCGCCAGCTCTGACACTTCCCCCTCCACACTGATGCTAGGCATCTCCAGCTTGATCTCACCTGGTGGAGAGTCACTCATTAGACCCTCGCTTAGGAAAAACCTGTAATGTTCAAGTTCATCAGCTAGCTCTTCTCTCCTGTGGATCGGGTCGCTAGCCCATCCCCTCCTCTGTCTCTGTCTTGTTCTGTTTCCAAGAATTAAAACCTCTGTTGATTGGCCCAGAGGTTAAGTCCCATCAAAGTGATATCATTACTTGAGAAGTTCCTTGACTGACAACATAATGAGTTTGATTTTTACAATTTTAACATACTCCCAGAGTTCAGCAGCTACTTAAGAAGTCCTCGCCTGTCGGTGATGGCACATGTCTTTAATCCCAGCAGGCTGATTTCTGAGTTTGAGGCCAGCCTGGTCTACATAGTGAGTTTTAGGATAGCCTGGGATACGGAGGAACGCGGTGACAGAGAGAGAGAGAGAGAGAGAGAGAGAGAGAGAGAGAGAGAGAGAGAGAGAGAGAGAGAGGGGAAAAAGAAAAAAGAAGTCTTCAGGGGCTGGGGTGATGGCTCAGTGGTTAAGAGTACTTCCTGCTCTCACAGAGAACCTGAGGTCTGCAATCAATAGCATCCATGTTGATTAGCTCACAGCTCCCTGTAACTCCCTTCAGCTCTGATCTGAAGCCCTCTTCTGGCCTCCACTGGTACCTGGGCTCACGTGCCCTCCCCCACCATACACATAAAGTAAAATCTTCAAAAAGGGAAAATCTCCAATATAAAATGAAGATAATAGCCGGGCGGTGGTGGCGCATGCCTTTAATCCCAGCACTCGGGAGGCAGAGCCAGGCGGATCTCTGTGAGTTCGAGGCCAGCCTAGGCTACCAAGTGAGTCCCAGGAAAGGCGCAAAGCTACGCAGAGAAACCCTGTCTCGAAAAACAAAAAAAACAAAAATAAATAAATAAATAAATAAATAAAATGAAGATAAATCAGGGGTTTGGTGGGGGGTATCCTCAGAGGAAATCAAAATAATGTAAAAAAGAAAATGTTTAAGTCCCATTTCTTTGTCTCAGAAGCTGGAGATAATACGTGCCCAGTCAACAAGAACAGAATGCTATTAAACGGCAATGAAGACCAGAGGTCTCAGAACCAAACAGAGCAACTAGCAAGGATCGCTCCAAACCGAGGAACACTCCCGGCACATTAAATACCAAAACCCCGGGGGGTGCCTCCATGGGCTAAAGTGCTTGTCACACAAGCTTAAGGACATGAGTTCAGATCCCCAGAACTCCTATACAAGCCAAGAACAATGGTTCACATCTGGAATCCCAAAGCGGAGGGAGACAGGAGACCCCTGGGGCTCAGTGACCAGCCAGCCTAACCTAGTTGGCAAACGAGAGACACCATATCAAAACAGAAAGCGAAGGATGCCTAGGGAACAACCTCTGCACACACAGGTGTGCCCACACACACACCCCAACACACAGGAGCACCCCCCAATTCCCGTCCCACAGAGAGTTAAGGAAAGAGTTAATCCTCCTAGAGTACCAGTCCCACATCACTGGCTTTCCTGGCTAAGTACCCTGTCACCTCTTCCGGAGCTGGGTCCCTAAACGTGAGCACCCAGCTCAACTCTGCTCCCTCATCCAGCCAGTTTCTTGCCGCCTTGTTCTGCTGTGGGACAGTCTGTATGTCAAATTGCTCTGATTGGTCAATAAATAAAACACTGGTTGGCCAGTGGCCAGGCAGGAAGTAGGTGGGACAAGGAGAGAGGAGAATTCTGGGAAGCGGAAGGCTGAGGCGGAGAGACACTGCAGCCGCCGCCATGACCAGCAGCATGTGAAGACGCCGGTAAGCCACCAGCCACGTGGCAAGGTATAGATTTATGGAAATGGATTAATTTAAGCTATAAACACAGTTAGCAAGAAGCCTGCCACGGCCATACAGTTTGTAAGTAATATAAGTCTCTGTGTTTACTTGGTTGGGTCTGAGCGGCTGTGGGACTGGCGGGTGACAAAGATTTGTCCTGACTGTGGGCAAGGCAGGAAAACTCTAGCAACATTGTTCTCTGCTTTCCACGCCTGCTTTTCCACTACCTCAGGCTCTGGAACTCGGGGGGGGGGGGGATCAGGTAGGCACTGCCCATGTGATGACCCACTGAGAGTGGGTCACCTGAATTCCACAGCAGGCACTGAATGCAGCTTTCAGATGAGGCCCAGTGCCACCTCCTCCAGGCAGCCCCCCACGGTTGCCCCGCCCTCTTCTCTAGGCCTCGACATCTTGTTGAGCTCCACACTCTGCTCCAGTTGGGAGTGCAAGGAGATGATGGCCTGTCGCCACAGGGGTTTCATGGTTATTCTTCCAAACAGTTCAGTTTCCAGTGCACATATAAATGAGAATTATGAGGCCGGGGATGTGATTCAGTGGGTAGAGAGAGCTCTTGCTTAGCATGGGTGCAGCCCAGGGTTCAAGCCCCAGCATTATATAAACCGAGCACGGCCGTGTATGGCTGCCATCTCAGCACTTGGGAATTAGAGGCAGGAGGATCAGAAACTGAAAGTCATCCTCGGCCTATATGTCATTGATTTCAGCAATAGGACAACTCAGTCTTAAAAACAAACATAGCCAGGCGGCAGTGGTGGCCCTCGCCTTTAATCCCAGCACTCGGGAGGCAGAGGCAGGTGAATCTCTGAGTTCGAGGCCAGCCTGGGCTACACAGTGAGTTCCAGGACAGTCAGGGCTACACAGAGAAACCCTGTCTCAAAAGGCAAAAACAAACACACACACACACACACACACACACACAACCCACAAATTTAAAAAAAGCAAAAATAATGAGCATTCTGAACCTTTGCATCGCCTTCTCGGGATGAATTATTAGTTCTTCACGAAGAGGGAGGGGAGGGAACAGAACAGACCTTCAAGCTGCTGCATGGTCCTTTGAATGTTGTTGGCAAATTTCTGAAGGTTCATCAAGAACTCATCACGAATCAGCTGGATGCTGTGGTACTCCACCGCTTCCCCGGGCATGCTGGGCAACTCTGTTGTGTCGTAAGAGGAAGGCTCGTGGGTTTCTGCCGACGATGCCCCCTGACCTGACTCCAGCTTGTGCTGGTTGAAGGACAGAGCGGGCATGAAAACCTGCAAACACAACCATGTATGTCGTTAAATCGCCCCCGGGGCCTCCAGCCGTCTGCTAGGTTGACAGATGTGCGCACTGGTACCGGGCACATCTGGAGTCCCAACATTCGGGAGGCTGAGACAGGAAGACGGCTGTTGAAGGCAGCCTGGGGCTGAAAATGGAGGCAAGAAGGATTTGGATGCAACCAAGGTCGCAGAGGCCAGCCTGGGTTGCTGGTTATGTAGTGGGTGGCGGCTTAGAATGAATTTTTGTTTCGCTCTGAGGCTATTTGCTAGTGAACAGCTTGGTTTTAACTTTAAGCAGCCAGTGTCTCTGTTCTCAGAAACCACAAGATTAAAAAGATGTCATCCAGAAGCCTGAAGTGGTCCAGCTGTGATCCCAGCATGTGAGAGGCAGAGGCAGGAGGACTACCCATGAATTCAAAGCCAGCCTGGGCTACAGCGTGAATTCTAGGCCAGCCACGGCTTATAAAGACCCTGTCTTAAAACAAACAGAGGTTACCAAATGAATGAGCACATAGACAGGTAGTGACCTCCTGCCCCACATCTCTCCAAGATCAAACTCTCCAGCCCTTCTTTGGAAGCAGGGGACTGTCCTGCAGATGCCAGGCTCTCTGGAGGACCCACAGTTACCTGGCAGATGACGTCGTTCAGGAAGCGGAGCACGTTAGAGTTGATGATGCCATACTCCATGGTCTCGGGCATAATTTCCAATGCTTCCTTCATGTCCGTGGCTTCGGGGATGGCCTCTAAATCAAAACAGACGCAGAGTGCGGAGTCAATGGGTGGTGGGGTCATTCCCAGGTGTCCCGGAGTCTCTCCTTCAATCTCAGAGGCTCTGGTCACAAAGTCATTAGACAGGTTGACCTGGTTCTGAGTAAATAAGACTAAACTAGACCACACTGGACTTTTGTTTTGTTCTGTTTTCTAGAGACAGGGTTTCTCTATGTAACTGTCCTGGCTGTCCTGGCACTCGCTTTGTAGACCAGGCTGGCCTCGAACTCAGAGAGTTGCCTGCCTCTGCCTCCAGAGTGCCACCACCGCCCGGCTAGGTTGTGGGAGTTTTTAAAGACTCTGTGAGTTTTACATTTTTACTGCCCTTCCATTATAGTATTAACAAGGGCTCTTGGGGACAAGACATTGAAAGGTTATATTTTAAAAGTTATCTGTTTAGGGGCTGAAGGGAAGTCTCAGCCAGTAAGAGCACTAGCTGCTCTTGCAGAAGATTGGAGTACAGTTCCCAGCACCCACATGGAGGCTCACAGCCAGCTCTAACGTCAGTGCCAGGGGATCCAGTGCCCTCTTCTGGTGTCTAAGGGCACCAAGCATGCATATGGTGCACCGAAAACATGCATATGCATAAAATTTAAAAAAAATATTAAGACACACATACAGCTCATCTTCAGGGCTGGGATCCTCGGGAACCTGCGTAAATGCCACGTGGATGTGGTGGCCCACTGCGATTCCAGCCTTGGAAGGTAGAGAAGCGGGGGATGCCCAGAGCAAGGCAGCTAACGACACTAGCCACATCAACCCTCTCTGAATTTTATTAAAAGATCTGTGCCCGTGAAGAAGGGCTGGAGAATGACTCCCAATGTCAACCTTGCCTGCTACATGCACATGCGCATAGGTGACCCTCCACATGTACACACACACACACACACACACACACACACACAGGCACCTTTTGTGCTTCGGAGGAAGAACACCACGTTCTGTTCCAGAAACTCCTCTGGGAGAGGGTTACAGAGCACATGCAGATCCAGCCTGTTGACGATGCGCTTCACAAGCCTCTGAAACAGACAGGACACGGTTGGGCCGGCTGGTGCATGCTCTGCAGGGAACATTTATCTCCAGCACGGAGGATCTCATCCCTGATAAGGAGGCCGCTATTAGACAGCGGCCACAGAAGATCTGATTCACATCCAGATCTTGGGCCCTGAGCCTGACAGCTGAGAAACTGACCTAGGAAAGGATGGGAGGGCGGGGCTTGGAGGGGCGGGGCTTGGAGGGGCGGGGCTTGGAGGGGCGGAGCCCATTGACAGAAATTGGCTGCCTCTGGCTAGTTGTGTGGTTTGCTGTTTCTGGAACTTTAGTGGGAATTGTTTTTTTGTGTGTGTGTGTGTGTGCGTGTGCGTGTGCGTGTGTGTGTGTGTAAGTATTTCTTCTTAAAAGGTTTGTTTATTGGGGCTGGAGAGATGTGCTTCAAGCCACAGAAATATGAAGTAGGAATTCAGCGGACTATGACAAAGCTATTACCTGGAAGAGGCCAAGGGCATTTCCAGAGGATAAAGCCAAGGCTTAAGGAGCCTTGGTGATATTTGGCTTTTGAATATCAGCCGTTTGCTGCTATGAATTTCTCGTGTGCTATTATGCATTTCCATTCCCAGAACAGTGTGTTTGATCACTCACTGGGCACAATTTTAATGTATTTGGATAACTTCCTCCAATTTTGCTAACAACAGACACAGTCAAGATCCCTAGTTTCAGGCTTTCCTGTAATATCGTCATTAGCAACATCCGGCCAGGACCTTCTCTGGACAAAAGTATCTTATCTGAGATACTTCCCAGACTTTCTAAGAACAGACTGCAACATCCAGACTATCTGTCAGTTCCTGAGGGATGATAAAAATCTACAATGAGGCCGGCCGGCAGTGGCGCACTTGGGAGGCAGAGCCAGGCGGATCTCTGTGAGTTCGAGGCCAGCCTGGTCTACAGAGTGAGATCCAGGACAGGCACCAAAACTACGCAGAGAAACCCTGTCGGGGTGGGGGTGGGGGTGGGGGTGGATCTACAACGAGACAACAGCCCAGGCCTGGCGGATGTGCTAATTAAGCTTAACCTTCTTTCTTCCAAGTGCTATCTCTAGTTCCAGATCTCCCTTTAACAATTAACTCAGAACTAAAGGGCTCTTACACACCAGGTACATCTGGCCATGACACGGGTTGCCTAGTTACCGAGTACACTTCCCCTGCCCTGCCAGAAAATGGCACAGCCCAAATTAGGCTGAGACAGATACGGCTCCAAAGGAAAAAAAACGGCAGTTTTATTTTCACTCATGACTTAGTGACTTACAGACTCCTAACATTTTACCTAACCACTTCTAAGACTAGAGTTTGAGCACATAAATCCCCTTTTTCAGACCTATTAACCGAATTTAGCCTTTAGTAGATTTGTTCCCCATTAGTGACTTCCCTTCTGGGTTGCTCTCACAGCTGACAATCACGGCTCTCTGTGTGGATCTTCTCACCCCTCCTTTTGACCCTGTAAGAATTCAAGTCTGGAGACCCCGCTTTGGCCAGAGCTTTGCTGCTTTGTGTGGGTATACAACTGAAAACCTCAGAGACTAGAGAGGACCAGATTGGGGAAGGAGAAGAACGAGACGGAAGACGAGGAGGAGCGAGATGGGGAAGAGCGAGATGAGGAAGAACTGGATCAAGATAGAGGATCGAGCTGGAGGAATTAATTTAGGACTGAAAGAGAACAGCAGAAAAGTATAGAGAGAAATCAGGCAAGAAAAGAGCTAAGTGTGAGAGCAGAATAGAAGCTGTGCAGAGGGAAAACTGACTCAGAAGAATAAGGTGAATGGACTGAAGAGTTTCTTTCATGTACGTGGATTCATTTGATATTGTTAGGATTATCAGCTGGTTGTTAGATTCTTCCATGGACCCTGGGGAAAGGCTATCGAGGGGCTGGACCCCAACAGTCTTTGTTAGAGATGGTGCAGTGGTTAAGAGCACTAGCTGTTCTTCCAGGGGACCCGGGTGCGGTTTCCAGCACCCACGTGTGATGGGTTTACATGGTTTACATGTAACCATGTTGGTTACATGTTGGTTTACAACCATCTGCAACTCCAAGGGTCTGTCTGATCCTCTCTTCTGTCTGAATGTGCCAGGCATGCATGTAGCGCACAGACATACATGCAGGCAAAACACCCATACACATAAAATAATAAAATAGAATTTAAATAAAGGTTGGTCTTTTTTTAAGGATTTACTTATTTCCTGCATATGAGTGTTTTGCCTGCATGCATGTCCGTGCACCATGTGCATGCCACACTATATATGGCTCCCTCCTTTCTCTGTAAGCCACAACTCCTGGTGGAACAGCTTTTCTGACTCCTGGGAGTCCCTCAGTCAGTAATGTAGCTAAGGGTGTTCTAGGAAGACCTCAACACAAGATTCTGGAATCCCCACTCTAACACACTGGGTCCCTAGCATGCGCTGTGCCTGTTAACCCTGTCTTACGAAAGCCCCCGGAGCCACTCTGCCAAGAAGGATAGAGGGCAGGGAGTACCTTGCCAAAGGGTTTCTCTAAGTGCTCTTTGTCGGGGTCAACATCATCCACACCTAACAGGGAGGGTGTCATGGAGTCCGTTCTCAGCTTCGTGGGCTTGGCTGCAAGACACAATTCAAGGAGTTGAGATGGCCAGAAACAAGAGTTTCCCACCATCCAGATGCCTGAGTATGATAGGTCTTGTCCTCCATCGCGTGCTCTGCAAAGGACGACGGGAGTGTAACAATCAAAGCAGGCCACGCACCCAAAATCCTCCCTCATGGCTCACAGGTATATGTGTTGGCTGTGGTGCCCAGCTCGTGATTTCTCTGAGTTGGTGTGTGTGCGTGCGCGTGTGTACGTGCAGGCAACGGCCAATAACGCACTCAGGGGTGTGTTTAAGGTCGCTGGAAGTAGTTAAAGCTGGGCTGGGGCTGAGATGATGGATGGCTCAGTTGGTCAAGTGTTTGCAGGATCAGCCTGAGGACCCAAGTTCAAACCCAGCACCCCACAGAAAGGCAGGTGTCGGGGCACATGCTTGTAATCCCAGCACTGGGGAGGCTGACACAGAGGCCCACTGAGACCCACTGGCCAGCCAGCCTAGCCTATTAGGTGAGCTCCAGGCCAGTAAGAGACCTTGTCTCTGAGAACAAGGTGGGCAGCTCCAGAGAAATGACACCTAAGGTTGTCCTGTGGCCTCCATATGTGCATGTGAACATACGCGGTTTTATGTGCACCCATGTACAGCACGATAACCTGTGTGGGTGCATGTGCGCACACACACACACACACACCAATAAACCATCAATGCTGAGTTTTATGCTATGGGTTTTGTTCCTTTGCTCTTTAAGACAGAGTCTCATGTAGCCCAGGCTAGCCTCAAACTCACAACTGAGGCCCTGTCTTAAAAAAAAAAGAAAGAACAAAGAGAACTCCTACCTTTTGTTCCTGAATTTGACACACACACACACACACACACACACACACACACACACACACACACACCCTGCCTCGATCTTGCCTGCGTAACAGAAGGGACAGTGTGAGTCCAAACGGGGAACAGGCCCTATGATGGCAGAGGAGGGATGGGATTGGCGTGTCCATAAGCCAAGGAGTGCCAGTGCCAGCAGTCACTGAACTAGGCAAGATGGGGTCCTCCCAGGAGCTTTCAGAGGGGATATGGCCCTGGGGACACCTTGGGCCTCTGGACCTGAGAGGAGATATTTCTGTTTTTCACTGTCCTATATTAAGGCCACCTGACGGTAGCCCAGGGACCCTTGTGCACATATCCACCACCAACTCCACAGACGCCCACGTAGAGGTGGCCTCTGCCCCCCAGACACTCACCTGTCACTTTTTCGGAGCCCTCTGCTTTCTGAGACTCGGTCTCCTCTTCCTCGGCCTCCTCTTCGGGGATCAGGGGGATTTCTTAGTTATGGAAGCATAACGGGGGGGGGGGGGGGAGAAAACACAAAATCGCATTTATCCCCATATGAAGACGGCTGCCCAATCTTCGCTCTAAGTGGAGCCAAAGGGTAGGGACACACCCCACAGGGGACTCGTAAATGTCACTGCAAACCATCATGGTGCTGGGGCCAGCGAGGGAGACCCGGGCCAATTGAGAGGAGGGTGGAGCACACTCCTTCACCTGAAGAAATGCAAGCAGCCCGTGAGTTTGAAAGAGGCTGAGCACGCCACACCCTCGTGTGTTTTTGCAGTACTGGGCACAGCCTGGAAACTGTTCCGATGAGCCCAGTGTGCTGGCGACTCAGGAGAGGGAGGCAGAAGGACCAGGAGTTCAATGCTAACCGACACTAAGAACAAGTTCAAAGCCAGCCTGGTCGATACACAATGCCCCGTCTCAGAAACCACCCAGGGGGTGCTGGGAAGAGAAATCAAAACACCGGCAGGGTGAAGGCACCCAGGCAGGCGGCTGAATCAAAACAGACACAGCAGGAGACAATTGCCCGCCGCTAGCTACAGCCCCTGGAGACTGCAAGAAATTAGGGTCTTCCCGCAGGTTTTTTTTGTTTGTTTTTAATGTATACAGAATCTTATTAGTGTATCCTGAAATCCGTACTTTCTTTTGGTTGTAATGAATGGGCCTAACCCAGAGGCCCAGGTTCAAAGTTCCACCTGGGGAAGAAAAATGAAGGCCGGGATGGTTAGATACCAGTGAGGCTGAGGCAGGAGGATTGAGAGTTTGAGGATACTTTCAGCTTCCCCGTGAATTCCAGGCCAGCCTGGACTATGAGACCCTGTCTCACAATGTAATAAATAATGAAAGCAAACAAAGTAAAGGAGAGAGGAGAATGGTGGATCCTAACATCTCTCTCTCTCTCTCTCTCTCTCTCTCTCTCTCTCTCTCTCTCTCTCTCTCTCTCTCTCTCTCTCTCTCTCTCTCTCTCTTCCCCTCTTGCTCGCTATGGAGTTCCGGTGATCCTCAAACTTGCTATGGTCCTCAGGTGATCCTCCCTCAGCTAGGATTGACGTCTGGCAGCTCTTGGACCTGCTGCCCCTTTTTAGGGTAGGGGACTAGGTATGTTAGGCGAGTTCCTCGGAACCTCTGCAGACTCTTGCCTTGGAACCCTCCCGCTGGGGAGCATCTTACAGGACAAGAAACTGCGGACCTCCTCCATGTCCCGGGCCAGGTGCGCAACCCTGCGCCGCCGTTGAGAGCCAGGATGGCAGCGCCCCCTCAGAGGACAGATGAGAACAGACAGAAGCTACGGCCCCGGGCACACAGTCGCGCTAAGTGCCAGCAGGGTGCTGGCTGTAGGCTGGCCATTGCTCAGGCTCACCGATCTCCACCTCCACCTCCTCGGGCACCAGGACGCGGTAGAAGAACAGCGTGGCGGCGCCGTCCTCGTCGCTGGCGTGGTTGAGGAAGTGCAGCATGATGTCCTCTGCCTCGCTGTCATTGCGGTTCAGCAGCTCCTCGAACACCTTGGGGTTGCTGAGGCCGAAGGCGGTGTACACGCGGTCGCGCATCCACAGGACCCGCAGGTCGTCCATGGCGTAGACCTGAGCGCTGCAGGACGCAGGGCCGACAGGGCGGGGAGCCGGGCGGCGTCCGTGGCAACGGCGCCCCTAGCAACGGGCGCCTGGGCAACGGCGCTGGCGCGGGGCCGAGGGCCCCCATTCTGCAGGTAGGAAAGCTGAAGTGCAAGAAAGTTGGCTACTGGGACGCGACGAGGGCATGGCTTTGAGGCGGAGCCAGGCAGGACTAGAAGCAGTGAACTGGTTAGCTTCTGTAAGTAAACTTGCCGCTAACCCTACACTTAGTTGGGAAAAGGGAAACTCAGCTGAGGCATTACCTCCATCAGATGGGCCTATGGGGACTTTTCTTGGTTGCTGATTGACGTGGGCGGTGCTATTCACCCCAGGCATGGGGGTGAGGGGCTGGGCTGACAGCCGAGCAAGCCATGGGGAGCAAATCAGCCAGCAGTGTTCCTCCAAGGTCTCTGCTTCAATTCCAGCTGTGCCCCTCTGCCCTCAATGATGGAGTGTCACCAGGATCAAGTGAACCCTTTCCTCCCCCATACTGGTTTGGGTTGATGTTTTATCACAGCAACTGAAGCAAACCGAGGACAGGCAGGCAGGGCTGGTTCAGCAATCAGGCGCTGAGGACGCCTGCGGATCCCAGGAAGGGAATGGAGAACACCCGTGGGGTCCTAGAAAGGAACCAGCTCTTTCTGGTATAGGCGGTTAGGGAGCAGGATCAGAAAACACCACACTGGCATCTCAAAAATATAGATTTATTTGTCACTAGCAAAAGAAAGTTCAATACTGACAGGCAGAGTAGTCCTTCCGTGCGTCTGCGCAATGCAGTCCTGACCCGCTCCCGGAGTGCCTGGCCCAGGTCCCGGCTCCAGAACACAGTCTTGTTACATCATCCTGTGGAGTAGCGTTTTCTGAGGATTTCTTGAAGTGTTGGAGCAAAGCGCCACAGCAGTCCACCAGAGGGAAAGGCATTACTCCCAACTCCCTGCTCAGAGCATCGTGACAGTTCTTAAGGCCGGCCTGGAGAGTATGGCGTGCCAGCAGGCCCAGATGAAACACTTCCGTCGGGAAGAGAAGTGCTGACGCTATTTTTGTGTTTGCATTTTCCCAAGTGGGCCAAACTCTGAATCACAGCCTGATGTGCCAGCCCCGTGAGTGACCAACAGGCAGTCTGCCTTATCACTCTACTGCTGATGGAACACTGGGTCTGAATGCCATCGGACCCACTTCCTGCCCAGCCCAGCGCTGTGCGCCATAGTGCCAGCCGAGCCACAGCCTGCACGGTGGCACTGGATATCTCAAAGCGTACAGACCCACTCTGGAACTGAGGCCAGGAGGGGATCTGGGGGGAAAGGAGTCTGTCCCAGGTCCCATGGTGGAGGGGGAGCCCAAGAGCTCAAAGCCCTTTGCACGCCTCTACTGGCCATATCCCGCCTCTCCACCACAGAAGTCTGTGTGACAGTGCTGAACACCTGAACCAGTAACAGGGCTCTGTGGTTATAGGAGATGAACAGGACACCCAGACAGCTGGGCGTCCCTCTGTGTGGTGCTATCGCTATATCTCCAGAGGGGTCACAGAAGGAGTAACCTATGTTTCTGTAACTACATTCTATATAACTGTGACAGACGTCAGCTGAGGAGTCTCCTCACTGCACAAACTGCATCTCCTGATGGTCCTTGTCCCGGGAATCAGTTAACTCTGTGATGACCAAAGACCCTGGGGGGACAGTAACAAGAGTGACAACATGGGGTGACATGGATACCGATCAGAGCAGGTCTAACTCTGGGCAGCACCACCTTATCCACGGTAGGTTTGGCATCATAGCTGCCAGGAAGCTGGCACACAGGGCACAGACTCGGAGTTCACCCCCCCCCCAGTGCGGACTCCACTGCAGCTGGAGAGGGGTGACTTTACAGTCCAGAGCGGCACAGGCAGCTCGTGCATCTCAGCAAACAGGCCTTAAAGGACCGAAAAGCTGACACACTCCGACTGCCAGGGCTGGGCTTTTAATCAAGGGATGCACTCTACCACACAGAGTGGAGGGCAGGGGACCAACAGGCCTCTGCAGGAGCATCTGACTCGAAATTTCAAGAGGGCAGAAATGCTGGATTCCTTTCTCTCTTTAGGGTGTCATGGAGCCTGGGCTGCCTCGACTTACCACACAGCCAAGGGTACCGCTGAACTTGGGATCCCCTGCCTACACCGTCTGCAGGTGAGGAATACGATGAAGCAGGTGTCGGCACACCTGGGAGAGGTGGCTCAGGGGATCACAACTGAGCTACCCCCCAGTCTCAGACTTCTTTTTGAAACACTTCATCTAAATCACTTAACGTGAAATGTGAAAATGAAAATGAACATAACTGATAAGACTATGGCTTGGATCAAAGTGGGCAGTGGGGCTGAGTCAACGTCATGCAAAGCTGAGCAACACAAGAGCAGGTGATTTTTACACTCGAGATAATAAATTAACCGATTAGTGAGAATTAGTTTTCAACTGACCTGAACAGTTTTTGGAAATTAAACTGTGGCCATCAGACCTTTATTCAGAATTAGTGTGGAAGTAAAAAATTAGACTGTTCCCAAGTAGAAGCAAGGTCTCTGTGGTAAAATATCTTCATCTGTTCTTTGCTATAAAAATACACACTCGGTTCACCTGTCCCCTGCCGTCACACCGGGTTTTAAGGCTCAGGACAGTCTTCTCCCCAAAGGTACAACTGTCGTGACTGGTCTGACACAAGGGTAACAAACAGGACAAGAATCTTGTAGAAATATTCCAGCAGGACAGCCATCTGCTGACCTGTGTGGTCCCATGGCTGTCGAGCTGCCCCTCCTGGTGATTCTGAGAGCTTCCAGGGAGAACCCACACATTCTCCAGCCAGCAGGGGGAGCGGGGGTCTGCGGACGACCCAGCACTAATGGCTGAAAAAACTATGTCTGGCTTGAGCTGCTGGAAAATATGACCTGACATCTCGTGATGGAATCACTTTGTTTTTGGAGTGGAAAGGGAATCGAGGATCTGAGGCCATCAGCTAGCCACCCAGCTGCCTTTTCTCCTCCAATCTGACACTTTAAAAATAACTTTAATGTGACGTTGGCATAACTTGTATTTGCTCATAATAAAAACCAACAAAATTTCTGTGTCTGAAGCGGTGAGCTCTACAAAATCTTCAAAATAAGGAGAGGCGTATCTCACAGAATCATTTGGCTGAATCGTAAGGCAATCGACGAGGGTGGAACCTTCCTGTCATAACTCTGACTTGAGTGAATTCTGTAACATGATAGTTCCCCGTAGATCTGGCGGGATGGGGGCAGCAATGTGGTCATGCTAAGCTGTCGCCACAGCTGAACTTGGAGGAGAGCAGACTGAAGGAGAAAGGAACGAACTTGGTGCCTGCACCAACGTAGAATTTGTTCTGAAATTCAACCCTGCAGGAAGAAAAATGCACATGTATTAAAACGCCAGGCCTCCCCACCGTGGGCTGCACCCTAGACTGTGAGTGAAGGAATGTTCCTCCATTTCTTTAGAAAACAAGGTCCTGGGCTACAACCTTTCCATCTCTTTGCATTCTTGTCATGACCAGGTCCCCCGATCACTCTCTCCCCGGTCCACACTGTCCCCCCCACCTGTCACTCAACACTCCGTCTGCTGCGCCCTGGTATGGGTCGGAAGTTCCAACACCTCAGCTCTCCTACACCAGACACACGGGATGAGACACCGGAACCCCTGTCACACTGGCTGCCGGAACCTCAGAGCGGCAGCCAGACACAGACTGAGAAGCACTGGGAATACCCTGGAGGGCTGCTGAGGTGGCTCAGGGGGTACAGGCATCTGACACCAAGGCTAACAACCGGAGTTCAATCCCCAGAACTCCCAGGGTAGAAAGACAACCAACTCCTGCAAGTCGACCTCTGACCTCACAACAAGGAGGGTACTAAACCCGAAGTGTCACCTGCCAGTCCCAGTGTGAATAAAAGTGGGTACACACACAAGCCGGGCATGCTGGCACCTGTCTGTAACCCCAGCAGGGGCAGGCAGACCTCTGTGAGTTCCAGGCCAGCCTGGTCTGCATAGCACAACACTGTCTCAAAAAACAAAACCAACGACAACAACAAAAGGGGACACACAGTTGTTTCACAGACAGACTCTTCTGTGATAAACTGTACTGTTTCTGAACCGCTAGTTCATAGCTGAGCGGGGAGGAGCCAGCCCGTCCTAAGCACTGCATTTAGAAAGCTTTTTACACATGTGTGTTTTCCCTTAATGAGTGGCTTTTTAATGTTTCCTTAGTCAGTAGCATGTGCACAGGAGTATGTGTGGGTGCACTTGCCCGTCACACAGGTGACCGTCACACAGGTGATGCCAGGTGACAGTTGTTGGGCATCAATTCTCTCCCTCTACCCTGTGGGTCCTGGTGATTGATTGGACTTTGTAGCAAGTGTCTGCACCCACGAGCCTTATGCCAGCTCCGGCACCCTTCTCAAGAGTTACTATGTTCTTACAGTACCACATCTCTTGTATATGCACACACGAGTGCAGGTGCCTGCCAAGACCTGACATCCACCGGCTGGAGTTACAAGAGGCTGTGAGCCGCCTGCTACAGGTGCAGGGAACTGAACTTGGGGACTCTGAAAGTGCAGCTCACATCCTTAACCACTGAGCCACCTCTCTAGGCCTCATCTTCCTTTTGAAAATACTCTTCTGAGGACACACGTCCCACTCACCAGTGAAGGCGTATGGCATGGAGAAATGCAGAAAGTCCTTCCATGACCAGCAGGATAAAGATAGTCAAAACTGCAAAGAAGGCCATGACAGGCAGCAGCAGCAAGACCCCGTAGGTGGTGTCCACACGCAGGCCCACGCGCAGCAGCATGGCCCACAGCACATCAGACAGCTCTGCAAAGGAAGGCATCAGCGGAGGTCAGTCTGAGAACAAGCCTCACCACCCACGGAGAGCAGGAATGACTACCAGTCAGCCTGGCCCCTGAGCGGAGGCCCCGAACCTCCAGGGCTGCTTTCTCTGTAAAGAACAACAATCTCAGGAGGTGCCATGGTGCCTCCTGTTTCCTAACTCGGCAAGCTCAGGCTCAGGACCCAGCTCGAGAGACCTGTCTGGACCTAGCAAGGTGAGTTGCTCCAAGTCTGGGTCTGCTGCCAACAAGGCAGCCTCTGCACCTTCACTGTCCTGGGACACAGAGGCCTCGCTCTCTGTCCCGTTGGCCGGTACCCTCTTGTGATCACCCATCTCGGTCACATGTCTCAGGGCTTTGTCATGGAATCTCAAGGCAACACATCTGCACATTTTTCTGTGTGTGGAGTGAACGCAGTCGGTGACCAGTCACCTCCAGGCTGGAGAGAGAGGACATGGCCTCTCGTTACAACACACAGGGTAAGTTAACCTCCAGACTAAAGAACACCCCCCACAGCTGGGTCTTACACACAGGCTCACAGCTAAGCCAGTGTGGAGGATGAGCCAGGCTGGGGGCTCAGGCTATGCAATTCAGCTGTGCATGAGCAGAGCCATGCACATGAGGACTAAGTCTGACCTACGTACGGCCCAGCAGTTGCCACACTTGGTTGAAATAAATACTCCACTCAGTGAACAAAGGCTAGGACACACTCAGGAACACGAGATAGTGAAGAGCATCCATGCCAGAGGTCACCAGGCCCTCAGTTCCCAGAGCCCCTCCATGCCTAGGCCGGGACCGTGACCTGCGTGATCAGAAGTTGGGTCCAAATAATGAAGAGCCCTTGTCCATCACCACCTGGAGAGCTTACATGCTCTATGGGGCTGAGCAACATACGTGCATGCGCCAGGCTGAGGGCCCAGAGCCTCAGGTAGGACGCGGTGTTGGAGATGCAGCCAAGACAGTACTCGATGGAATGGATGGCCTGCGTCATCAGGATCTCCCCAAAGTTGAACTGAGGGACAACAGAGGACATCAGACACCACAGCCCAAACTGCTCCACTGTGAAGCCCTGGCTGGTCTCAGAGACAGAGCAGGCCGGTGGCTCAAAACAGCAGGTCCAAGATGTGACTCCTGCTCTCAGTGGGACTGTGGGGCTCCTCACCCATCTCCCACACTAACCCCCAACTCTACTCAAGCTTCAGTTCCCTGTGACCCAAACATCAGCTAGAACTGCGATCGCCAAAAGGTCACATGGCTAGAGATCTCAATGACATCTGAGCTAGCCTCAGAAACTACCCAGCATCCCAATGGGCATTTCCCAGCTACGGGTGCCCAGGGGATGTGCGTGCTCCAGGCAGGGTAGGGAAGGAGAGGGTGCTGTCCCAGAAGCGCCTGGCTCTTCCTCACTCGCTTTCTTTGCTCTGTGAACTTGTGATGTCATTGCTTGGCCTGAATGAAAACTCTGCTACCCAGTAGCGACTGACCGACCGACTGACCGACCGACCGACCGACCACAGGAAGCTCAGTCTGCACTAAGCAGTCAATGAAGGGCCTCCTCCCTCACCCGACCGTCCGCCCGAACTCACCTCCTCGCATGTCACTTCCCGGCAGCCCTCTTCCATGCGGTTGTGCCCCTCTTCTACGTCCTGGCTGCCCAGCAGGGAAACCTCCTCCTCGCTGTCCTTCCTCACAAGCGTGTAACCGCTCTAACCAGAAAAGAACAGCATCAGCGCTTGGAATGCCACAGGGCTGGGACAGAACTCAAGTACCTGCTTCTCTTAGGACTCAGCTCTCTGGGAATAAGAAAACTGTCTCCAAGGAAGTGCACACCTTGCATGCCTTTAGACTGTCACAGACAATGGAGGGACAAAGGGAGTAACAAGTGTTGGCAGGAATCAAGAGGCTGGAACCCTACTGGGACTTTAAAATGGTTCGGCTGCTACAGAACAAGTATGGCAGTTCCTCAAAAAAACGCAAACACAGAACTGTCTGCCTGGGACCCAGCACCTCCACTTCTGACACACCCAGGAGAGTCCAAGGAGAGCCTTGAGGACATGCCTGTGCGTGCATGTTGTCTATCAGCATCATTCCTCGAGCTGCATCATCCAGGCTCTAAAGAGAGCCAGCTCTGGAGGAATCAGGGCCTCGGGACACGGGCTGCACTCACCCGGCTCACACCAAAGCAACTGCGCCCGTTGTGGAGCCATAGCAGGAAGAGCGGCTTTCCTAGGAAGAGCACGGGGACCGCCAGCACCGTGAGAGCCACCAACACCTTCTGGACGTGCGCCTGTGGGGGCAAGGGAGAAGACCAGGAAGAGGAAGGGCAGCACACTGTCAACACAGCACTGGAATGTTATTTTTAGAGCAGTGAAAATGCTTTAGAAAAATTCCAAATGGAGGTTTGGGGAAAGGACCCAATCTGGGCTGAGTCTGAAGTCCGCTGTGGCTGTGCAAGCTTGTGACCCAGCACTAGGGAAGCAGAGGCAGGAAGAGCTCCTAGGGCTCGATAGCTGGTCACCCTGGCCTACTCTGACAGTTCCAGGCCAGGGGTAGACCATGGTGTGCGAGTGTGCGTGTGCGCATGCATACACACACACACACACACACCACCACCACCACCACCAACAACAACAACAACAACAAAAAGGTGCATGGTGCCTGAGGAACGACCTCCAAAGTTGACCTCTGGCCTGAAGACACAGGTACCTACACACACTCACACAAATTCTAAATGGGAACTTGCTTTGGTATTACACACCAAAATATTAGAACCAAACAGAAGATTAGCATGGTCCCTGTGAAAGGATGACACGTACATTTGTGAAGCATTCCATTATATAAAAAAAAAAAAAAAAAAAAAGAATCAGGCTGGAGAGATGGCTTGCTCTTCCAAAGGTCCTGAGTTCAATTCCCAGCAACCACATGGTGGATCACAACCATCTGTAATAAGATCTGGACATGTGCAGACAGAACACTATCCATAATAAATAAATAAATCTTTAAAAAAAAAAAATCTAGCTGGGCAGTGGTGGCGCACGTCTTTAAACCCAGTACTCTGGAGGCAGAGGCAGGAGGATCTCTGAGTTCCAGGCCAGCCTGGTCTACAGAGCGAGTTCCAGGACAGCCAGGGCTACACAGAGAAACCCTGTCTTGAAAAAGCAAAACAAAGAAACAAACAAAACATCTAACTGGAGTCAAACTGCAGTTAGTAACTTTCTGAGAACACTGCCCAAGGACACCCAGAAACACGAGCAGAATACTCTTCACACTCCTGGTTTCGGTTTAGTCTTCCTTATCCCAGACGACTTGGAGAGCGCTGGGTGCAGAGGCTGTCACCACCAGGTAGAGGAGTACTCACCTGCCCTGGGTAGAGGCCATGTGTCTCACTGGCTGGGAACAGGAACATGTTAATGAACTCGATCAGGATGCTGGGGGCCTCTCTAGAGGTCTCTGCCGAGTATGCCAGCCACTTGTAGATGATCATGAAGATCAGGTACCCAAAGATGCAGAGCATGAACAGGATCTCGGGGACGGACACCAGGTAGATGTTGAACTTCTTCCTAAAGTGCCTGCAAGAGGGGCGAGAGAGGCCGCTGAAAAGCTGGGGCTACGGTGCCACGGGCCACTTCAGGGCCCGACGGGTGTCTCTGCTGGTTGGAGCCAGAGCCACAGATCCCCACAAGAGGGAAGAGATCGAACTGTGGAACCACACAAACATAGGCTGCTACTGAGTCTGGCTTCAATATATTCGGGGTTTTTTTTTTTTGCTTTGTTTTGTTTTTGTTTTAAGATTTTAAAAAAAAATTGTTTTAATGAAATCAATTTTTAAAAATTCACTTAATTTTATGTGTATGACTATTTTGCCTGAATGCATGTCTGTGCACCATGTCCATGCCTGGTGACCACAGAGGCCAGAAGAGAGTGTAGGCTTCCCGGAACTAGAGTCATGGCTGGTTGTGATGTGAGCCACCATGTGGACACTGGGGACCAAACTCAGGTCCTTTGAAAGAGCAACAAGTGCTGTCTCTCCAGACCCCATTTTAAAAACTGTTTTCAATTATGTGTAAGCAAGTCGGGCAGGGGGAGCTATGCACTCGATTGCAGGGCCAAGGGCAACCAATCTCCCGGAGCTGGAATTAGAGGCAGTTGTGAGCCACCCACCATGGGTGCTGAGGGCAGAACTGGGGTGCAGTCCTCTGGAAGAGCAGTACACATGTCAATGTTTTCAGTGTCCCAGCTCTATCAGGACTTAAAGAACAGAGGTACATGATGCAAATCATGCTTCGCCATGAGATGCATGGTCAGCATGGAGAGGAAGTCTGCCAAGGTGCTGACTCTCCCACAAAACAAACAGAAAGCTTTCTACATTACAGCAATAAGAGTGTGACAAAATCCCCTTTGGGGAATAACCCTGCATTCATGTCACATGCCTCCCCACTTGGACACGAGCTCCAGGCGGGCAAAGGTCCCTCTCCATTCTCTGCAGAAGCCCAGTGCTCAGGATAGCAGCCGATCCACAGTTATGCACTGAATGGATAAATCACTGATCTCCCATAATTCCAAAACTAAATAACCAAAAATCATCATCAGATCAACTGCCCCTGGCCCAGTCAACCGTAGCATCAAGAGATAAAAGTGAGGGGCTGGAGAGATGGCTCAGTGGTTGAGCGCACTGGCTGCTCTTCCAGAGGACCTGGGTTCAATTCCCAGCACCCACAGGGTGGCTCACAACCATCATGTAGTTCAGGGGCTCTGATGGCCTCTTTGGCCTTCACAGGCACCAGACATACATGCAGTTAAACATCCACACAGAGAAATGAAACATAAGGGGCTCAGGAGGTAAAGGAGAGTGCCACCAAGTCTAACAACCCGAGTTCATTCTCCAGAACCCACATGGTAGAAAAGGGAAAACTCCCGCCAACTGTCCTCTGCCGTGCATAGTCACGCAAGTGCACAGGT